AAAAAAAAAAAAAGAAAAAAAAAAGAAAAAAAACACTCGTCTGCTCGTCTGTTCTCGGCCGCACGATCGTCGAGAAAAACAGTCACGCTGTGTGGAACTCGTTTGTGAAGCGAGTAATCACTGTTCGAACAATCATCCTTCGTCCAAAGGATGATCCATTCCACGATCGAGCGATTCGCGAGACCTCGCGGGCAAGTCCTCGAAGAAACGCAACCTTCAGGCTCGCTATCGCTCCCATCTCGAATAGCGAGAACAGGATTACTATCCTAAGTGTGTATGTGCGCCTGCCTAACCTCCCTAATCTTCTCGTTGTTCTCGATAATGTCCTCGCGAAACTGGCCCATCGCTTCGTTGTCTAGCACCGAGACTCACGTCGTTCGTTTCCACCGGACAATCCACCCTTCGACTGGAAGGGAGCCGACCTCCTCCTGGCTCACTACGTGGTGGATGGCGAAGTGGGCACGGAAATTGGCGACGTCGGGCTGCTCGACTCCCTTCCGTTCGACAGCGTCGGCGTCGAGGCTCTGTATTCGTTGTGGATTCCGGGGGTGCTTGTTCTGTTATTATTACCCAGGAGGCTGTCGATGGAGAACGGGTTCAGCCTCTTCCTCTCCTCCCTGCCTTTCACCGACAAATCTATGCTACCGCTCTGCACCTCATCCTCGCTGGTCTGCTGCTTGACGGACGTTCTTCCCGGGTTGCCGCCACTGTTCGTTGTCTGACGCGGTCCGCCCGCGCTGTTCATGTTGTTCACCAGCTCCCTCCTTCTCTCCAGCAGGCTCAGCCCCCAGTGATGGATGCCCTGCTGATGGCTCAGATGATCGAGACTCAGGCTGGAGTTGGGACTCTGCAGGCTACCCGGCACCTGGTTCACCGATTTTCGCGGATCGTTCGGCTCGCTGCTGCTGTTCGCTAGCCTCTGGTAACACTCGCCGTCGATGGAACCGTCGGCAACCGAGTCGACTCTCTCGCTGCCGCTCTCGCTGCAGGAATCCAGTCCACCCACCACGTCGATCTCCTCGTTCGCGTCGTTCCCGGAGCCTGACACGCTGCTGCTCTCGTTGTTGTTGGCCAAGTGGTTGAACGAGCTTCCCAGGCTACCGTTCAGCGAGTTCCCGCTGGATGCCGCGGCGCTTCGAGACTCCCATTCGGCGCGAAGCGTCGACAGGTCCACCGTGATCCCCTGCAATCCAGATATCGCGAATTCTTTCCTTCCTCAGCGCCCGTATTTCCATTGTTAACGTTCGGGAAATTCCACCTGAACTTTGATGAAATTGGCCGAACGTTGAATCGATGTATTCTCGATGGGTAGATAATGCGAATTCCGTTAATGCGGAAATTGCGCAAGTTTTAATTGAAAGGAAACGTCGTTAAAGTGATATCGAGGGCGATCGCACGGAAGGCGATTCGTTGAAATTACTCCCGACCGATAAAATAAGATTCGTTTTAATTTCGCTTTAACAGACGTATGAATCAAATGTATAGCGGTATAAGTTAAACTGCGTTACGTTCCAAAGATTTTAATCGGAAATAAATATGAATACCAAGAGGATCTCGCAGATTACGACCAATCGATGAATGTAAGCTAATATCAGGACAATTGGTAGACAATTGCGCTGCGTTACCTTCGCGGCCAATTTCCTCTGCTGTCGTTCAAGAGCTTTCAGCAATTTTTTCTGCCGCCTCTCCCTCTCTTTTCTCCTCAGCTCCTCGGGTGGAATCGGTTCGCCGCTGCAACTCTGAGGATGAGCGTTGTGCGCCGGCCTTCCCGGCCCCTTCTTCGTGTGCTCTTTCTTCCTCCATTTTGCCCTTCTGTTCTGGAACCATACCTGCAAGCAAGCCAGCCAAAATTTCTCAAAATTTCAACTGCTTCATTTTCAATTAATTTGAAATGAATGAGATTTCTCGCCCTACATCGATGCTCTTTGAAGTCGTTGTTGCGTGAAACGTTTCGCACGACGAATGCAGCGATGGTAGACTAGGCGCAGTGCGTATTTCACCGCGTCGACTGCAGCTTTATCCATTTTATCTGGAGGTAATTAAAAGCACGTCCAGCCGTGGAACGGTCACAACGGTTAAATATCGAAATTACACGAAGGTGGGCAGCCCGCGCGGAGGAACCAACGACCCCCCGGGGTGTCTTGATTCATGGCGAGTTTCAACCCTTTGCTCGCGTGAACGCTGGCGGCGTAAAGCACGATTTAAAGCCGGCGCGGCGACCGAGAAAGCGAGAGAAAGAAAACACGAAAAGAGGCGGGAGGAGGGGTGGTTGAAAAGGTGGTTGAAAAGGATGAAGACATTAGTTGCGGCTACCGCCCGGTATGTGGCGCTGTGTTCTCACGCGAGCCACAGATCAATACACCCCCGCCAGCCCCTCGAATTATCCGCCTCGCACACGTCACGCGCACCTCTCCGCGACTTTCCTTTCTTCCGGTTCTTTCTTTGCTTTCGCCCCCGACGAGAACGAGATTCAATCGGAGGAGAGATCGGATTGCTGCACGCGCAGCTGGCCATTTCTCGACCGCGAATGTTCGATGAAACTTTGCTCGTTGCGGGACGAGAGGCGGGGCGTGTTATCTCGAAAAACTGGAAAGCGGTTGATTTGCTGCAGTTCTCTCGGGGCAATGAAACATCGCCAGAAGATGTTTCTGTAGAACTCGGAACACACAGTCGTGGAAATCGTACGAGGCGTTGGAATTTCCAAGCCTCGAGTATTTTACGATATTATTGAAATATCGTAAAAAAAGGAGGCATGCCACTTGCCAAGTAAAATGTCAAACAGTCGCGAGAGTTCATCGTCATAGGCGGAAATAATGAACGATGTTAATTGGCCGAGTTGTCGCGTAACCTCAGATAAACCATTGTCTACGATCTACATACATTCTTCTCGTAGATGTTCGTTCGCTTGAACGCCGATAAGTTTGATGACGCAATCGTCATCTACGAGAGTAAAATGAAATAATAGTTTCTGATCTTTGAGTTCGGTTTGCAACGTCTCCCAATGAAATTGAAAACAAAAAAGAAAGAAAGAAACAAGCAGAAAAATGCTAGATGATTTTCTCCGTATCACTTTGCGCTGTACAGATGTTCCCGATTTTCACTCGTATCGAGGGAAGAACGACTTACAGCTGTTCCGCATTAACAGACGAGCGAGAGGCTCGTTATTTCGGCATTATTACTCCGTGCGTTAAAAAATTATCGTCAACTGATAACCGCTAACAAGCTGCTCCATCTTCTATTACTACGTGCTTTGACCGACGCTAAACGTGTAACATCTTTTTTTCTTTTCTTTTCTTAGCTGTGAATTTACGACCGCGTCGCTTCTCCGGGGATGTGTTGGTAAAAAGTAAAGAGATTCCGCCTTGGAACGTGAATATTCTGGAAAATTCAGAGAAAAATACGAGAGCCTTCATCCCGTGGATATCTAACGCGAGAGTAATTAGTTTAAAATATTCTCCATTTGATTTATGTATCTCGTGAAAGATTGTGGGCAACACGCTGATGGGAACATTCTTCACGCATGTATTTTAATCGTTGTATCAACGTAATATATTCTTCTGCATTTATCTGGCGTAAATTTCAGTCAAAAGGAAAATCGTCGATCAGAATGTTTCTGGTTGGAAGAATATTGGAGCAGTAGCTGAGTTTGAATTTTCGATCAGTAAAAATAATGGCAACGAGAATAAGAAAAAGAAATTTTACATTGCAATAATTACCCTGGCACCGTGATACGCAATTAGTATTCCGCCCTGGTCGCCCGGTTTATTCCACGCCGGCAATTCGCATGCACGAAACGTAGAACGCGTCGTGTGTTCTTGTCGAATCGATTTACGCCGATAAAACAACGAATGTCCATAAAACATCTATTACAAAGTATAACTATTAATTAATCTTGGGCGGAGGCGAGCTGAAGTGAATTATTTTTTTTTTCTTTTTTCAACCGATGAACATCTCCATCAAGATCGTTCCGACCTTCTCGCTTCTCGCTTCCGTTGTTGCTGCAAGTGCAATAGAAATTTACAAAGAAAACACACAGAGCTCCGCTCTGAATGAAGACGTGCAGAGTCAGTTCTCACTTCAGAGATAAAATGGTGCTTCTTTTAATTATCTCTCTCTCTTTCTCTCTTTCACTCGCTGACAGGCCTTGGAAAATTTTTGAACGTTAATTAAAATCAGTCCGCTAATCATTGGACAACGCTAACGAAATGGACCACCGAGGACCAGTTCTGACACAACGTCGTAAACGGGCATTGAAAAAGAGAGAAAATCGTCGGCCGTTCGTGTCGTTCGGAGTGCAATTGATTTTTAAGTAGCGGCGATCTTCCATCCTCGCGTCGAGGACAGAGAGAGAGAGCGAGAGAGAGAAAGTGTGTATGTACAAGGAAGACAGCTTGTATGAAAGTTTTTGAGTAAATATGATAATGATACCATAAAGTCCTCGAACGAAGCACGCAATGATCGGGCAATTAATTGGCACGATACTGTAGCCTTTCGTCGAAACATAAGTGGGACGAGAAAATGGCACTGACCCAATTTTCCTTTTTCTTCTTCTTCTTCTTCTTTCAAGGAAGAATTTCAAGAAGCATTCTTGTAGTTTTAACGAATAATTGATTTTCGAAGATACCGATCGGCCTCGGAGGCACAACGATGCAACTGCGACGAAATTGAGCAAACTTTTAAATGAAGTCGTTACGTCGTTCGCGATGTGGAAGGAATGTCCAACACACCGCAGGTAAATTATTAAGATCGAGACTCTCGCTCTTCGAAGAAAACCGCGCGCACGTCGTTTGCTTCGAGTTTCCGAGCAAGCAGCGGAAATTGCTTTGCGTCAAAAGTCGCAAAATTCAGCCAGAGACTAATGAATTCGTCGCGATCGAGCAAAGCAAGATACCGGTTGCTCTTTTCCCCGAGAGGCGACACCCACGTGTGAACCGACATCTCTCTCTTTCTCTCTCTTTCTCTCTGGGAATGGCTGCTGCTCTCGGTCTCCAGTTGCTCGTGCCGGCAACTGTGTCGCCGGTTTATCTCGCAGTGACAATATCTTTTAAAAGCCTGGTCTACGTAGCATCCGCGCGGGTTATCTAGCGTGGGCATCGACTATCTAATCTGAGGACAGTCCCTTCGAGAAGACGCACCGGCTGCATCATGACATCGTGTCACCACTAGCCTGGGTTATCTCCGGATCGCCCCTGTCACCAAGGTCGCTCGGCATTTCACCCCGCCAAGGGGATGCACTCTGGTTCAGTTAAGCGATCGAATCGTGTATCGCGAGAGTTTTCGCGCCCGGTGATTTCAACGCCTGATTTCGCGTGTCGCTCGTCTATCCTTCTATATTGCAACGACTATATCTCTACGTAATACAAATTTGTATTATATACAGTAAAGAGCATAACTGCAGCAATGACAATGAAACGTTGTCGATAACATCAACTGATATAACTTTATTAAAAAAAAAAAAAAAAAATATTATATAACGTGTCTCATTTTAAAATGTGAAGTTTCTTTGACAGTCGTGAATTTGTTCTGAAAATTGTAAAAATTCAGACGCCATGGTCTTGAAAATTAT